ATCGGTAATCTTTACTCAAATGCTTGGCGAACCATGGGTTGGTATACATCACAGAAATCGAACGCCACCAGACACAGGAATCTTGACTAGGCATGAGGTTTACTTAGCCATTCCTTCAGTGGTTTGAACCATAGGTCTTCTGAATCCTCTTCTTCTTTTCAGTTTCATCCACATTCCTACACCGATACCAGTACTGGTATAGGAATACGAATTGTCGTCGATTCATTGTTTTTCGTCAATTTCTGGTCTGTCCACCTTGACTACCTATCTTATGGGCCATATGCTGCATTCAACAAGATGGTGACATCCATGGGTCAAATCCTTGCAGGAGAAAAACGACCTAACATTATTAGTAGGGTCTGGCTGCCAGTCATAAAAGCGGCCCCGGAAATAAATCTGGCGCTTTTCTTTTTGCGCCCTTAGAGTGGCGTGGGGAAGTTCCTTTCCCGCTTTCACCACCCTTTTACCCATGTTACCCCATTGTGATTCTCCAGTGTATATATTGCCACGAATTCAGGAAGAGAACAAAATGTTGAAGAACTTCGGAACAACTCAAGGATGACTGCTTGGAGAAGAAAAGCCGATATCGTACCGGTCATTGTCGGCGGTGATTTCAATTCACCATCTCATCTCGATTGGACCGAAGAAAATCGGTGAATCTTCTTATGTGCCCTCGATTTGTTCTTCAATGGACTTCACAGTACCCTTGTTTAGGGACATACATGGTGGATGGGTAATAGAATGGCCAGCAACGAAACTTATGGAGGAGATGAATTTTATTGACTCGTTCAGGGAGCTCCATCCATTTCATCAAGAGCCAGGTGCAAAGCTTTTCCCACTTTTCTAAGCCACCTAGACAGCTTTCAGATGTAAAAAACGGCGACACGACCCTTGCCCTCTCTGTAGCGTTGAAGTCCAGTATTTTTCAAGATTCTGCTGTCTCCTATCATAAGCAAACACAGAAGCACTTTCCTTTTTGCAGATCGAAAATCTGACGAATCTCAAAAGCGGACGTCAAGGGACGGTATTAAGGGAACACATTCAACAAAAATCATTCCCCAGCGCCAGAATGTGTCCTGGCCGTCGTGATCATGCCGTTGGACTTTCCCACATCGTTTTCTTTTCAATTTCTCACATTCTTCAGTTCATCGCCGCTTCTCGCTTCCCGCATATAGCT